GCACCCCCAATGGGGTATGGACAATTCCTTCTCCATTCCCCTTCCCTATCAGGACTTTAGGCATGCATGCACACATGCCCAGTGTGTTTTTCTAGCTAAGGTTTGAACCACATGGCCAGCCACCAGACTAGGAGCTGGCCCGTCATGTGCCATTAATTGCCTCCAATCTATGGCTGTCTTGGTCTATTCTTGTCTTTTGTGATCTTGACACTTTTCAGGAGTACTAGTCAGTTGTTTATAGAATGTCTCTCATTTTAGGTCTACATGTTTTTTGGTTTTGTTTTAAACCAATCCTGGTTGGTGTCACAGAGCAGAACTTTACTCTTTGTACAGAGAATGGAGAAAGGGGAGCTTGCATGCTCCAAAGGCACCTTCTCCCCAGAGTGGGAGTCAACCCTTGGGGTTCAGGCGCTGCCTTTTTTGCACTCAGCATGTTTTGCACACTGCAGTTTGCACTTAAGATCCTCTTCCTTACCATCCTTACCTTCTTTTCCACTTGGCACTTCATTGCCACCTGGGGTCTCTGGTTTGAACTGGTGCCTTTTGAACTCCTATTTCTTTGGTTCCCTCTAGCAATCACAGCTAAAAAGCTGATGGGTTTCTACATCACCGCGGCAATTTCTTAGTAGAGCTTTTCCTCAGTAACATTTTCTCATTATTAGATCATGGTTCTGCATTTTCTTAGGGCATCACATCCAGGGTACATAAAATGGTGTTTTATGTGTAGTGAGGTTGAAGTTAATCACATGGGTAAGGAGTTTTCTGCTTGTATTTCTCCCTCTGAATTTAGCAACTTTCCCATTGAAATTAATAAATACCTTAGAGATACTTCGAGAATGTGCAGCTATCCTGTTTCTTCCTAAACTTTCATCTGCTTATTTTTGTATCTATTAATGCCTGCAACACTGTGTATTTGTCTAACAGTGACTTTATTTCCCTTTTTTACATGTACTGACTGAAATTCTCCTGGAAAGAGAAGCTGCATAGACTGGATTTAGATACAGGATGTCATTCCAATGATTATTTTCTGATTCATCAAAATTAGATAGCTGTAGTTTAATAAAGTATGCTTTTATTATTTTTATTTAAATATTTACATTTTATTAATGTTTGATAAAGGCATTGCAAATGGCTTAAGCTATTAATATACTTTATTATAGGCAGGCTGAATGACTGATATATATAAATAAAAAGTCAATTACTTACTCAGAAAAAGCACACAATTAAATGACTTTAAAAAGGGCACACCCTGAATGTAAGCCTTGAATTTTTAGTTATTTGTCTAGCTGCTGAATCTGTCATAGTAAAAATAATATTCTTGATGCTCAGCCACAAGAAGTTCAGGAGCACATATAAGTTCTCTATCAAGAGGAAGTCTTTGTTTATTTTCTTTCTTGAGAATGAGGTACCCTTGAAGGGGTCTCACCACACTCCTCCCTGCAGCCCTCCAGACAGCCAAGTCTTGAGTGTGCATGTTCAGGTTGACCCAGGAGCCTAACTCGGGCCACCCACGTGGCTCCAGTATTGCAGAGCAGAACTCTGCTGCCTGTGCCACCACAGCTGGGCCTAGCAGGAGCACATTAATTTTAGCATTTCTTGGCTTTTATATGTTTACATTGTTAATTGTAGCAGAAGTGCACAAAACATAGTATATTTAGCATGGATTTTTCATAGCTTGGCACTTTTCATCGATCATATTTATCCTTTCATTTAGCCAGAATGGTTAGTCAGCAGAAAAGCTTTGAATTGGAGCTGACTCGTTTCTGAGTCAGTGACAAATTTACTTTCTAAGCATGATATCTTAGTTTTATTTTAAAAATTGGAAAAGGGCATTATGTAGACCAGGGGTCGACAGACTTTTTCTGTTAAGGGCAGAATGGTAAATGCTTTAAACTTTGTAGGTCATCCAGTGTTGTAACCATACATGGGGTGCATGTGCGGGTGCATGACAGTGTTCCCAAAAAGACATTGCTTAGGAGAACAGACGGTGGACTAAGTGTTATAATTTGCTGACACTTGATTTAGACATAAACGTACTCAAACTCCAAATGTATATTGTCATTTACCCTCACCTCACGTTTGTCTCTACAGGCAGAAGACTGATCTTTGAAAATATGTATTTGGGAGATAGTCGCGTTCTGTTGAATACCTTGTGCTGGTGCTGCCATCGGAAAATCTGGTTACACTCCGGGGAGGCCTGCGACCACGGCAGGACTGAACCGCCTCGGCCCTGAGATGAGCGTCCGGCCTGAGCGGGCACATCATGAATAGGTACACGACGATCAAGCAGCTCGGGGATGGAACCTACGGTTCCGTCCTGCTGGGAAGAAGCATTGAGTCTGGGGAACTGATTGCTATCAAAAAGTGAGTTTTATCCTTCACGGTCATTAATTCTTCCTCACTACACATTGTTCAGATGGTCTTCACTCCCTCCTCTACCTTCCCTGTGTTTGAAGCCTTTCTAAAGGGAAGGGGTGGGAGGCATGGAGAAGAACCTTAAGTAATGATTCGTGACATAGGGTGGCGTGGTGCCCACTGTCTTGTTCTCTCTACCTTACTTCCTCTTCTGCAACCTGAACCGGGACTTACGATATGAGTTATCTATTGTTGTATAGTAGTTTACCTCATGATTAGTGGTCTAAACATCTGTTATCTCAGTTTCTGAGAGTCAGGAGTATAGATGCACCTTGCTGAGTTCTCTGCCTCAAGTCTTTCTGAGGCTGCAGTCAAGGTGGTGGTCAGGGCTGGGTTCTCATCTGAAGGCTGGACTAGGGAATGTCCATTTCTGAGCTCAGTTATGTGATCGTGGACAATATTTTGTATAACAGCAGCCCCACTTCTTAATACCTCTTTTATGTCTTTGTTTTTTGTTGCTATTACAGAATATCAGAGAAGGTCATTTATAAAGAAATTTATTTGTCTCATGGCCACCTTCTGGTACTACATCATAAACATGGCGGAGAGAAGTGGAAAGGGAAGTGACACGCACAATCAGCTGGACCTGCTTTATAGCGATTTACTCTCAAGGAATCCAATCCCATGAGAACTCACAAGGGATTAATCTATTCATGGAGGATCTGCCCTCATGTCCCCTGTACCTCTCAGTAGGCCCCACCTCTCAATACTGCTGCATTAGGGATCAAATTACAGCATGAGTTTTGGTGGGAACACCATACTCACACCATCACAATTACCTTGTGGGTTGTTGGACTGAGAACTTCAGTTTCCTGCAGGTGGTTGGCTGGAGCATGTCCTCAGTTCCTTGAAATGTGGGCCAATCCAAAGAGCAGCTCACAACATGGCAACTGCCTTCATTAAGACATGGGAGTCAAGAAGGCAATGAGAAGGAAATGACTTTGAAAATAGAAGTCATATCTTTTTGCTATTGTAACCTATTCACAGAAGGGCCATCTTCTCTGACTGCTGTATTCTTTTTTTTTTTTTTTTTTTTTTTTTTAGGTTGTGTTTTGTTTTTAGATTTTTTTTTTTATACTTTGTTTTTTATTATAAATTTTATTTTTCTTTTCTCATCACAACACACATATGAATCTTCCATCCAAAATACACTGTGCATTGGCTCAATCAAGCACATCAACATATATGTTCTCAGCAAATGATTTCCCAATTTTTGTGTCCTGCATACCTTGCCTTTTGTTTTGCCATCCTAGGTTCCCCATCCCCACCCTCTGCCATGTCCCATCTTCCTCCTCCATTGTCCCT